TAGTCGTGAAATCACATTCCCCCCACCCCTGTAAACGACGAGAACAAACTCATCCTTACTTTCCTTCGCCTTTATTACAGCGCCTGCCCGTTCCCCCGTCATCCTAGACCAAACGATTCTCACTGCTTCTCATCGTTCCCAGATGCCTGCTTGCTGCGTTTGGAGGAGGGTCTTTCTGAAAGCAAAGACAGCTCACCCCGGGTGGAGCAGGCAGCTCGGGGTGGCTGGCCATCCAGTGACAGGCGAATGAGTGACAGACGTCGTGCTGAGATGTAAGGTGACCCCCTGGCAGCACGTGGCTGAGGATTCGCCCCTGCCGCCCGGCCCGCCCCGAATGTCATCGACCTATGCACTTAGTGCAGTTTCTTATTAAACTGAAAAGTTAAAGTCATCTGAGAACGCTCATCCCCACGCTGCACTCAGCCCCCGACACCAGGCCCCCCACGGCACCCTCTCCTGAGGACGGCCCACTGCGAGCCTCGCTCCGGAGATACCCCGAGTGCAGCGCTGGCCTCTCACGCCACGTGCCTGGAGCTCGGAGCCGCCGTGCCTCTCCCTCCCCCACCAACTCCTTGACCAGGTCCTTCCAGAATGCACGAGCCAAACATCGCAGGCCACGTTAATGTCCTTGAGCCCAATTCACTTCCTTGCATGCCGTGGTTCCCCAAACGTGCTGCTTACGTTGAAAAATGATTCTTTATCCAGGGACACTTACGGGTGAAATGACATATTATTCATAAGTGAAATGCTGTGATGGCCGTGTTTTAAAAATATTCCAGAAAAATAGTGTGTGTGTATGTATGTGTGTGTTTGTGTATGTGTGTTTGTGTGTGCATGTGAGTGTAGGCGTGTACATGTGTGTTCGCATGTGTTTGTATGCCTGTATGCATGTGTCTGTGTGTGTTTGTGTGTGCATGTGAGGGTAGGCGTGTACATGTGTGTTCGCATGGTTTGTATGCCTGTATGCATGTGTCTGTGTGTGTTTGTGTGTGCATGTGAGGGTAGGCGTGTACATGTGTGTTCGCATGGTTTGTATGCCTGTATGCATGTGTCTGTGTGTGTTTGTGTGTGCATGTGAGGGTAGGCGTGTACATGTGTGTTCGCATGGTTTGTATGCCTGTATGCATGTGTCTGTGTGTGTTTGTGTGTGCATGTGAGGGTAGGCGTGTACATGTGTGTTCGCATGGTTTGTATGCCTGTATGCATGTGTCTGTGTGTGTTTGTGTGTGCATGTGAGGGTAGGCGTGTACATGTGTGTTCGCATGGTTTGTATGCCTGTATGCATGTGTCTGTGTGTGTTTGTGTGTGCATGTGAGGGTAGGCGTGTACATGTGTGTTCGCATGGTTTGTATGCCTGTATGCATGTGTCTGTGTGTGTTTGTGTGTGCATGTGAGGGTAGGCGTGTACATGTGTGTTCGCATGGTTTGTATGCCTGTATGCATGTGTCTGTGTGTGTTTGTGTGTGCATGTGAGGGTAGGCGTGTACATGTGTGTTCGCATGGTTTGTATGCCTGTATGCATGTGTCTGTGTGTGTTTGTGTGTGCATGTGAGGGTAGGCGTGTACATGTGTGTTCGCATGGTTTGTATGCCTGTATGCATGTGTCTGTGTGTGTTTGTGTGTGCATGTGAGGGTAGGCGTGTACATGTGTGTTCGCATGGTTTGTATGCCTGTATGCATGTGTCTGTGTGTGTTTGTGTGTGCATGTGAGGGTAGGCGTGTACATGTGTGTTCGCATGGTTTGTATGCCTGTATGCATGTGTCTGTGTGTGTTTGTGTGTGCATGTGAGGGTAGGCGTGTACATGTGTGTTCGCATGGTTTGTATGCCTGTATGCATGTGTCTGTGTGTGTTTGTGTGTGCATGTGTTTGCATGCATGTAGGTCTGTGCGTGTCTGTGTGTTTGTGTGTGCATGCATGTTTGCATGCATGTGGGTGTGTGTGTGCGTGTCTGTGTGTTTGTGTGTGCATGTGTTTGCATGCATGTGGGTGTGTGCGTGTCTGTGTGTTTGTGTGTGCATGTGTTTGCATGCATGTGGGTGTGTGTGTGAGTGTCAGTGTGTGTGTGTTGGTGAGTGGAGAACGAGAGCAGATGAAGGAAGAACCAGAGACCTGCGCAGAGACCAGGCGGTGGGGGCAGCGGAGTTCGCTCCGTGATTCTCGCTGCTGTTATAGACGAAGGGAAATTTCTGTAATAAAAGTGTCTAAAGAAGGACCCGTCCCTGCAAATTAAATTCTAGACGTGTTTACGGACAGGAAACAGCACGTCAGCCCCGTGGGACCGCAGCTCGCCTTGTCCCTAAGGAGCTCACGGCGTGGAGAGAATGGCTGGGGGCGGAGGTGGTGCCACCATCAGGGGCTGGCACGAAGCGAGGTGGACGGCGGCATCGGACACGAGCCACCCCCCCGCCCCCTGCACCCACGCCCTGGGAAGCCCCCGAGCGCCTCCTACAATGAGATCGGACTAGATCCCCACTCCTTTGTGGCTTTGGCCACCGGGACGGTGGCACACGTCACACGAGCAGAAGCTTGACGAGTGCCCGTGCCCGGAGCCTGATCTCTCCTGCCTGCATCTAATAGAAGACGACAGCAGGTGAGTCCCAGCCACAGCTGCTGAGGTCCCAGACCTGTGAAATGGGACCTCCAGGACCGCCAGCCCGGCCGAGTGACCCCTGCCAGAAAGACCCAGACAACACAGAGAATCAACAATAAGTGTTTCAGGCACTGTGCTTGGTGTGATTTGTCACGTAGCAAAAAGTACGTGACACTAAGTGAACATGTCTACGCCAGTTCTGGTGGGACACAGGACCTGTGGACGAGGGCGATATTTAAGACAGAGACAATCGATGCACGGGGGAGGGACGTGCTTCCGCGGCGAGAGCTCGTGCTCATGTCTGGCGGAGCAGGAGACAGCGACGCTCCGTCCACCCCCTTCCGTCTGTGGCTGCATCTGCGGGGCAGAGAGGAAGCCCTGCGTCTTGCCAAGGGGTAGTGGGGGAGGGGAGGAGCACTTCAATAGCCCTTTACGGTCACTTATAGGTACGAGTCTCAGATACTCTGTCCACACTCCGCGAACGGCGACGTCTTAACGGCTGGTTGCAGTGCGGAGCCTGAGTCGCGTCGTGTCTGGGAAGCTCAGCAGGGTCGGGCCTGGTGAGTACTTGGATGGGAGACCACCCAGGAAGACCAGGTGCTGTGGGCTTTAAAAAAAATAAGTGCTCTGTCACAATGAAGCCCGCTGGACGGGCCTCTCCCTTACGCGTGGCCCCGTGATGCCACGTATGTGTCCTCTGAAAAACATTGCTCCCCGGAGCGAGACAGCCCTTCCGCACGCTGGAACACCTCATCACGCGGCATCCGGGTAGCATGACCCCTGACCTCATCGGGACAGTCCCTCTGTGTGCGGAGCCGCCAGCCTTTCCAGAACTCGACACTGAGGTTTCCACTGGCAACAAACAGCACTCTATGTTTTTCTCGAAGGGACTGGCTCTGTTCGCTCACTTTTAATAAACCGTCCGCTAAGTGCCCAAGCTGGAATGTCCCCACTGTGTCTGCCCGTCACCCTTCCAGGTGAAAAAAAGCATGTCGAAACTGGCTGGTTCCGTGTGCACCTCGAACTGTCACATGACGGTCGCCCCTCAAGTCCACGGCCCCGTCCCATTCAGAGCACAGCGAAGCAGCTCCGCGTTCCTCGCCACGCAGAGAGGGTTTCAAGTGTGTTCCACGGTTAATGTTCAACAGAACCAATCATTTTTTATGGCGCTATCAGGGAGACGCTCAGGTGATTAAAAATAAACCGGGAGTGGGCGGCAGGAACGCGCCCATGACGACAGGTGCCACGAGCAGCCGGGCGCCACCGGCCCTGCTCCGTCTGCCGCGGCTTTCCGAACGGCGGGCAAACAGCTCTCGGCGTTGCCATGGGAGCAGGCCCGACCCTGCGGGGGCTGCGGAGGGGTCCCCAGGGCCCCCGAGCCCCGCGGCTGGGGTGCCTGGACGCCGGGTGGGGGCGCGGCCCTCTCACTTCGAGAGCTGCACGTCCTGAGCTGCACTGCGTGGGACCCAGACGCTTGGCCCAAGGGGCGCTCTGGATCCCGTGCACACCACGCCGGCCCCGCTGCTCTGCGCCCACGGACTATTCCAGGCCTCGGGGATGGACCGCCAGCCCCGCGAAGGACGGCGTCTGTCCTTGTCCCATGCGGCAGGTTCTAAGGGCTCCGTTTCACACGTTGAAATTCTGCAAAGCATGGGCACAGCCTGTGAAATGACGAGGCGGAGCTGGCGGGCACAGGGACGGGCATGGGGACGGGTACGCAGGTGGCCTGGGCCCACGGCAGGCCTCCCCTCGGGGAGGGGACAGGAAATGCCCCACGGGCTGGCCCTGTCCTTGGATTAGCGGTACCGGCTCTGCTGTGCCGTCTGGAATTCCCTGCTGGGCACTCAGCCCCGCCACCATCCCGCTGGCTCACGTCGCCGGCCCCCCTGCCCCAGAGTCATGAGTGGATTGACTTAGAGAGCTACAAAGTCCCCGGCTCTTTGAAGCTATTCAAACACAGAGTCCCCCTGGGGAACGACATCGGCCACCTGAGGGCCTGTTCTGCCGTGTGCGTGTGCGTGTGTGTGCGTGTGTGTGCGTGTACGTGTGTGTGTGTGCGCACGTGCGTGTGTGTGTGTGCTCGTGCGCATGTGCGAAGCTGCAGCCACATTTACAGCACGGCCCGTAAATCACCCGACCGGAGCTCGCGGAAAGTAAACAGACCAAACATGAACAGGTTTGGCTGCTGGGCTGCTTTTGCTAGTCCATAATCCCATAAAAGCAGCCAGCGGAGTTTTTACGGAAGCTAAACACATAAAAACATCAGCACGTGGGGACCGCGACAGGCCGCCGAGGCTGCGAGAGGCGGTGTCGACGGGGACACGGCGGCTCCCAGAAAATCGCCGTTCTGCTTTCCAGTGCTGCAGTCTCGCCGGCACCGTGAAAATGATAACAACACAAACACATACCCACCGCAGGCACGCCACATCCTTCATCGACTCCGTGAACGCGACGGCAAATCTGGTGAAGGGGACAGAAGGGATGGAGGCGATTAGCGCAGGATTCAGCTCACGTGACTGCGAACCGGCTCGCGCATTGTGAGAGACAAGGCAAGAAGCCCGATTTAAACTGTGATCATTCTTTATTACCCGTCATTGGCCATTAACTTTAATCTCTGCTCACATCGAAAAAAAAAAAAGAAGTCTATGCAAGAAAAAAACACACGAAGCTGAAAACTTGCTGTGTTTCTAGTTCCTGCCCCATGAGGTCAGAGGCAAAGCCAAAGCCAGGAGCCAAAGAGAAGCCAGGAGCTTGGTCAGCCCACCCACCGACCCGGGGGAGGCCACCCCGGACTCCACGCCCCGGGGACGGACCGCGGCCACACGCGCATTCGGGACGTGCAGGATGCGTGTGGGTAATGAGCGTCACGGTCTGCGTGTACTCAGAAGTGGCCGGTTCCAGAGCTCGGGCCATGCCCACATGGGATGGACCAGGCCCACCTCATGGTCCCAGAAACTAAGAATGTGCTCCAAAAAAGGCACGTTCGGAGGACACGGGAGTCACCTCCAAGTCTCTCCGGTGGCCGTGGCTGGGGCAGTCTGAGCCCGAATCACCAAGGCGTGACGGGTCACCCAGAGAGCAAGGCAGAATAAACACCCACGAGTCCGCGTTGACGGGATACGAAGCTGGCCAGGTCGGTGGGGCGGAGGGACGGCTCTCCCCACCAGTGGAATCCCAGTAAGTGCCGAAAGCAAAATGGACCGCCCTGAGGCCAGCACCGTGGGGGCCATCCCGAGGCAAAGGGCCGGTAACCACGACGCCGCCCAACAGCGGGACCAGACAGGACTGGGAGCTTCTTTCCTCAGAGGTCCCCTGCCTCCCCCACAGCTCCAAGCCTTCCCTCCCTCCTCCCCGCTTACCGCGCCCCTATTTCAGGGAGAAACGGGAAATTCCCCTGGGGTGTCACAGGGCTGGGCGAGGAGGCCCGGGTCCCGGGTCACAGTGGACCGTGCCTCTGAGCCCACGTGCGCCAGCCACGCCCACCGGGGACGGCTGTGCCTGTGGCGATGGCGATGGCACACACTCCCTGCAACCCGCGCGGGGACTAGGGACGCAGACCGGCTGTTTTCCGGAACCGCTTCCCCCCCGGGCAGGGAGCCGGCAAACCGCGTTCACGAGGGCGGTGCAGACACCGGCCTCTGCGGGAATCTGCAGGAATGAGAAACCCAGGAGGCGAACGCGAGCTGCTGGCCCCAGTTCCTGCTCCCTCGTTAACTGAACACCTGGAACTTTCGGACAAGGGCAGGGCATCGAGCGGAGAGGAGCCGCTGAGCCGGGGACAAAGCCAGGCCACGAAGACCATGCTCCGTGCCCCCCCGACACACACACGCACGGTGTTCACAGGTCAGTGCTCGGGCGCCAGCACCAGGACAACCTCTGGGGGAAGCGAGACCCACGCATCTGGCGGGCATGGCCATTGTCCACTCGGCCGCGAGGACGTCAGCTCCGTGCCAGCGGGGACAGCGCTCACTGCCACCTGCCAGCCCCGACAGTGCCTGGCACCCAGCGAGCGCGCAGAAACACCGGACTGAATAAACGGGTGAACGCGTGAAGGGACAGTACGGTGGGCCGTTCAGGGTCAGGAAGAAGGACGGGGGGAGGGCGGGAGGGCAGGAAAACGTCCCAGGTGCCCGGAGCTGGTGCTGCGGGGGAGGGAGGACCAGCATCCCAGCCCAGCAGCTGGCTGTGACCGTCCACGCCCAGGTGACCGTCCCCACCATTCCCCCCTGTTCACTCAGGGACCCGAGGCCCCCAGGAGCCGGGGTACGGCAGGGAAGGGGGGGCGCCTGGGTGGGCTGTCGGCACAAAGGGTGAATGTGTCAGGAGCCAGCGGGGCAAAGTGGGGGACCCCGTCGTTTCCCGCCAGACACTCATCGATTATCCGCGGTGGCAGATGACACATTCTCTCTCGTGGCTCCTCCCTACAGAATCGCGGGCGCTGGCTTTACACCCACCTAACAGACGACCTTTAAAGAGAGTTTCTAGCCCAAAGACTCCAGGGAAATAAAGAGACCAAAAAAGAACACATTTCTTATGAAAAACACAGACCCGCCCCCTTACTGCCACTTCAGAGCTCACTGACTGACCGCGACACGGGGCTGTTTGCCAAAAGCATCTCTAGAAAAGCTGTCGCTCAAAAAACAAGGGACATTACTGATATTCAACCAGTTCCGACCTACAAAACAGCAATTCCCACGATGGAACCAGCCACGTGCCGTACACTCCCTATCCGTGGAATGGTTTCTGGGCTTTTCCTGTCACATAAACTCTCTTTGGCCGATGAGCTTGGCAATAGGAAGTTTTTCTAATATGACCTTTTCCCACAAATTTTTACAAATTTCAAATACTCCTTATCTAATTTTGGTATTTCTAATATGATTACCAAGTACTTAATATAATACTTACAAGCCAAAAACCTGATTCTAAAACAAGTTTGAATATTGTACTATATAGAAAAAAGGTTTAAAATAGAAAAGACAAATGTTCTAAAATACACCTTATAGGGAAAACATAACTATTTACAAGTATTTGATTAAAAATGAAACTCTCATTATAAAGCTGGACAAGTTCAATACTCTAATTTGCCGTATTACGTCAGACAAGGGGCCTATGATTCCCCCGACTTTCCTGCTCACCAACCTGAATCAATATCCCCCTGAATAAAAATCGATGTGCGTTTTCATAACAATACAATGAATAATGCTAACGATAATACGATAAGACGAATTCATTCAATATTGTTTCTACCGAGCAGAATTATTTGCCGTCCACGAGACAGCACCTTGCGGAATGCGTGGTCCAAAGGTGATACATTTTGAGAGTATAGGAATAACAGCAAGAAAACCTATAATGACAGATCACCTTTCCACGGGAGCCTAGCTGTGGTGATAGCGTTGTTTCCTGTCACACACACACACACACACACACACACAGTTTCTACCGAGCAGAATTATTTGCCGTCCACGAGACAGCACCTTGCGGAATGCGTGGTCCAAAGGTGATACATTTTGAGACTATAGGAATAACAGCAAGAAAACCTATAATGACAGATCACCTTTCCACGGGAGCCCAGCTGTGGTGATAGCTTTGTTTCCTGTCACACACACACACACGCACACACACACAATGTACTCTATTTTAAAAAGGGGGCTAGAAGCGTGCAAAGGCGTGTCAGATTATGTAAAAAGGTTGTATCGACACGTCTGTGTTCACGGCAATATCCACGCCCACCCTGGGGGCTAGAAGCGTGCAAAGGCGTGTCAGATTATGACAGCAACTGCCAGGCACTGCCAACACGTGGTCTCCAGGCTCAGGAACACGGTCCCCCACGACGAACAACTGTCCTGCCCCAAGTGCCCACAATAACTCCACTGAGACATGCAGCTGGCCACCCCTCTCACGAGGCGTTTTTATCCAGTTCAGAAACTGGTCTGAGCCACGTCAAAAAGATACGACTTGAGAAAAGCTGATGCCACCTAAGTCCCGATCTGCGTGCTAATGACGCTGGGGTCCGTCCGTAGTGGCGGCTCTCAGGAGACAGAATGACCCGTGTCATCTACCGTGCAGAACACCTCAAGAGTGTCCGTGTAACGCTAACCGCAGTGCGAGAATGATTCGGCTGCAATCACTTGGTGACGAGGACTATGCGTCAAAACAAAACTCCGCCCAGTGAAAGAAAAACAAAGAACCGAGAGGAGGAAGGGGGCTTCTCTGGGAAGGTGTGAGCCCCCCACACCCCACGTGACCGGCCTCCTCCGTCTCTCTGTTCCCATGGACTTGCGTCCACAAGGGTCCAGTGTCTAACGCCTCGGAAGGCCCTCAGGTAGTACCTGGCTTCTTGAAGGACGCTGCCCATCACTTGATTTTTTTCCCCGTCGTTCACGTCTTCATTTAAATCGGTCCCACCGAAGATGATTCCAAAAGGGACTCCGTGGCCTGCGAAAAGGAGGGGAGCAGAGCAGGCTGCAGCCTCGGGAGCGGCCACCGCCCTGGCCCCAGCCCCAAGCGGTGGCATGGACCGCCAGAGTCCGCAGAGCACGGCCCGGGTCGTGCCGATGGCGTGGTCTCCCCCAGCTCCCCTGAGCTGCAGGCTAGGGGGTCACAGGGATAAGCGTGACACGGGATTGATCGTGCGAGACACTGACCACCGTCGTCAGGACTCTGAATCAACTTGCTCTGTATTTTAACAATGACTCGTGTTGTTGGCCGCCACCTCTCAAAGCCAAGCTCCTCAGGGGTCGGGCACATCTGGACTTGTCGGGGTTCGTGACAGAAAAGGGGTTTTGCAAAACCTGAGTCCCCCCCAATGGATCACAATGACAGGCACAGCGCTGTCGAGACGCAGACACCGCGACTGTACTTCCAGGGGATGGGCAGTGCCACCGGAATGGCAAAGTGTGGAGGGCAGGAGAGTGGGGACCCAAGATATCTGAGGTGCTGCCTGTGCAAAGTGAGCGAGGACTGCGATGGGCGTGTTCACTCTAAGTGGAGAAGCCTGTAGGGACGGAGGCGTGGTCTCTGACGGGGGCGTGGTCTCTGACGGGGGGCGTGGTCTCTGATGG